TCCTTGCGCGCGCGCGTCTGCCGTGAGGCCCCGGCGCCCAGTACCGACTAGCGCGCGCCAGCACTGGCCGCTCGCGAAGGTGCACGGCGGACCCTCACCCCGAGACTGCCGGCCCTAGACAGGTGCAGCCCGTCGGCCGCGCGGGGCTACGGCCCCGGGTGCCGCCGAGGGGCCCCGCCTGCGCAGATGGCGGGAGATCCAAGCCCGCACGCCTCACGCGCCGGGGTAGGTGGAGCGGGCAGGTGGAGCGCAGGCCGGGAGGCCGAAGGAGGAAACTTTGGGAAGAGTTTAGACCGTCGGAGCGTGACCGCTTGCGCCCCAGCGTGCCACCTCCGGGCCGTCTGCCTTCTAGAAGTACCTGCAGCAAGCCGGTGATGTGGCCGCTCGGACCTGGGCCCGCCCCAGCTATAACTTCACTCCCTCCACCCCCAACACTACCACCACTTTTCCGGAAAGGAGCCAAATTCCAGATGCCGACTTGGGGAACATAGTAGCAGATTGGTGGCAAGCGACAGGAAAAAGGACAGGGGCCCCAATTGGATGAAAAGCAAGCCTTGGGCCCAGATCTCTCTGCTGAGACAGCTGCCGTCGACCCGAGTTCCTGCCGGTCTCTGTCACCTCCCTTTGGACTGGTAATAATTTCACAGCATAATTCAGTCATTGTTCAAAGCACTTTAAACGATTTAATTAACCTAATCCTCACGGGTTACCCATCTGATCCAGTCAGGGGTTGACCTGAAGCGCCTAGCGTAATCCTGGGCAAGTATGCAGTAGGCACTAAATGGCTGTGGTTTGGGTTGTTAGTAATTTGAAAGTTGGTTCTGTCAAGTGTTAGGGCTGCGGCATCTGCCGGTGAAGTATGGTATTGCAGCCGAGTTCTGTCGCACCTTGTTGGGCTGGCGAGATTGTGGCCCCAGGAGCCAAGTGGGCAGTTAGGGATTCCTAAAGAGAAGTATGGAAGCCCGAGTGACGGAAAAGAAAGTGGGATACTTCGGAGGAACTAAAAATTCGAGCCCGTGTATTTTTTTTGTGCACCAGAAATTTATTAATTCCTTAAGGCCTTCGCCCATATGGTAAAATTGGTTGGAAAATAGGTATAAATTGTATCCCCACCCATGCTTGTTTGGAAAGCCCCTGTTCCGTAAAGTAAGGGATGCCTTTGCAGCCAGAATTCTTTTCACATTGACCCCAACTCTTTTGGAAAGAGGAGACGGGGTCTTTAAAGTTATTTATTTGGTAAGGATTCTCTTTCACATTGATGTATCAGCAGTTCATTGGCTGGATCCCAGTGGTACTTGTTCCCTGTGAGACAGGGGGTCACCTAAACTGGATGCTGCCCAGGTTACAGAGTAGGAAGGCTTCAAAGGACTGGACGACCTGGACAGGTTACTTCCTAAGTCTTTTAAATCCCTCAAATCAAAATAAACATTTTCCTTAATGATTCTATAAAGTAATTTTGAGGTCGAAGGCATATAAAAAGATTTATAATCACTGTCCCTTCTTCATCTGCCCTATTCTACCACTATTAATAAGAATTATCGCTCCTAAGTCTCTGTCGAGTTCGGACGTAAGCTGCAGGAAGCAAACACATAGACCGTATACTAACCACTAAGCAGTGGCCCTCCATACCACCCGGCCAAGAACATCCTTTGTCTTTCACTCCAGCTGTCTTGAGATTTAACCCTTTGTTTTTAAATTTTCATTTCTGTGTGAAAAATAATCTTTCTGCTCTATACATTGCTTCCTAGACAGAAGCAGTATTGTAATTATGATCTTCATTCTGATAAAGGAATTTTCACCCCTCAGGAAATGCTGGCTTAGCCGTGTAAGCTAATAGCATCTCTGTGTTACCTGATAGGAGCTTAAATTATTTGTATAACTGGGATGATGTCTCAGTAACTGATTTTTGTTATAATGAGCATATATTTCATAATATTTTTTTATTTTGTTAAAGTACACATAACATAAAGTTTACTATCTTAACTATTTTAAGTGTACAATTCAGTGGTATTAAATACGTTCGCATTGTTGTGCGGTCATCACCACCATCCATCCCCGAAACTGTTTCATCTTGTGAGTCTGAAACTATACCTATGAAACAATAACCTCATTCTCCCTGCCCCCAGCCCCTGGCAATCCCCATTCTCCTTTTTGTCTTTATGATTTCGACTGCTCTAAGTGCCTCATATAAGTGCAGTATTTGTGTATGTCTTTTTGTTTTAGTTTGTTGTCCTCAAAAGTTAATCCATGGTGTAGCATATTGCAGAACTTCCTTACTTTTTAAGGATAAATAATACTCCACTGTGTGTATACATCACATTTTCCTTATCCGTTCATCTGACGATGGACACTTGGGTCGCTTCCATGTTTTAGCAATTGTGAATAACGCTGCTGTGAACACGAGTGTACAGTAATTATTTGAGATCCTGCTCTCAGTTCTTTGGAGTGTTGTGGGATTGCTGGGTCATGTGGTAATTCTATTTTTTTTTTTTTTTTAATTTTTGAGGCAGCTCCACGCTTTTCCAAGGCAGCTATACCATTTTACATTCCCACCAACAGTGCTCAGTGGTTCCAGTTCCTCCACTGCCTTGTCAACACTTGTTTTCTGTTGTTTTGTTTTGTTTTGATAGTATCCATCCTAGTAGATTTGTGATGGTTATCTCATTGTAGTTTTGATTTTCATTTCTCTAATGATTAATGCTGTTTGAGTATTCTTTCACGTGCTTATTGGCCATTCATATATCTTCTTTGGAGAAATGTCTTAGTCAGGTCTTTTGCCTATTTTTGAATGGTGTTTTTGTTGTTGTTGAGTTGTAGTTATGTATTCTAGATATTAATCTTATATTACACATGTGATTTGCAAATATTTTCTCCAATTCTGTAGGTTACTTTTTGACTCTGGGGATAGTCTCCTGATGAACAAAATTTTCATGAAGTCCAGTTTGTCCATTTTCTTTTGTTGCCTTTGCCTTTGGTGTCATAGCCAAGAAATTGCCAAATTCAATGTCTTGAAGCTTTATTCTACATTTTCTCCTGAGCGTTTTATTGTTTTAGATCTTATTTTTAGGTCCTTGATTCATTTTTAGTTAAGAGTCCAACCTCATTCTTTCACTTATGAATATCCAGTTTTCCCAGCACCATTTGTTGGAAAGACAGACCTTTCCCCCACTGAATATCTATCATCTCATATAGATACCACCCCCCCACCACAATTTTTTTTTCCTGTGATGAGAACTCGTAGGATTTACTCTCTTTAACAGCTTTCCTGTGTGCCTTACAGTGGCATTAACTGTCATGGTATACAGTACATCCCCAATACTTATGTCTTACTACTGAAGTTTGTACCTTTTGACCACGTTCCTCTAATTCCCCTTCCCCCAACCTCTGCCTCTGGCAAACACAAATCTGTCCTCTTTTTTATGAGTTTTGTTTTGTTTTTTTAGATTCCACACATGAGTGAGGTCACGCAGTATTTGTCATTCTCTGACATTTCACTTAGCATGGCAGAATTTTCTTCTTTTTATGGCTGAATAATATTCCATTGTGTATATATACCACAACTTCTTTTTCCATTCATCGGTCGATAGACCCTGAGGTGGTTTCTATCTCTGGGTTATTGTCAATAATGCTGCTGCGAACATGGGGGTGCGGGTATCTCCATGACACAGAGATACCTTTGATTTCCTACAGATAAATACCCAGAAGTGGAATTTCTGGGTTATAACGTAGTTGTGTTTTAAGTTTTTTGAGGCATCTTCATCCCGTTTTCCGTAGCGGCCGTACCAGTTTACAATCCCACCAACAGTGCCCGAGGGTTCCCGTTTCTCCACGCCTTCACCGGCATTTGCTGTCTTTCATCTTCTGGTACCAGCCATCCTAACAGGTATGAGGTTATATCTCCTTGTGGTTTTTGATTTGCATTTTCTTAATGATGAATGATGTCAAACATCTTTTCATGTACCTGTTGGCCATTCATGTATCTTCTTTGGGGGGAAAAAAAAAAAGTCTGTTCAGGTCTTAATTGGATTATTAGATTGGGTTGGGTTTTTGTTTTTGCTATTGAGTTCTATGAGTTGTTTATATATTTTGGATATTAAGCTCTTATCAGATATATGATTTGGAAATATTTTCTCTCATCCAGTAGTTTTATTTTTTCATTTTGTTGATGATTTCCTTTGCACTATAGAAGCTTTTTAATTTGAGGTAGTCCTATTTGTTTGTTTGTTTATTTATTTATTTTGCTTTTGTTGCCTTTGCTTTTGGCGTCAGATCCTAAAGTCATCACCAAGAATGATGTCAAGGAGCTTAGCGCCTGTGGTTTCTTCCGGGAGTGTTATGCTTTCAGGTCTTACATTCAAGTCTTTAATCCATTTTGAGTTAATTTTGTGTGTATTGTAAGATAGTCATCCAGCACCAGTCATTGAAGAGACTATCTCCATTGTATATTCTTGGCTCCTTTGTCTTATCGTTTTATCTGTGGGTGTATTTCTGGGCTCTCTATGCTGTCCCATTGATCCTTGTGTGTTTTTATGCCAATACTATAATGTTTCGGTTACTGTAGCTTTGTAATATGGTTTGAAATCAGGAAGTGTAATACCTCTAGCGTTGTTCTTCTCTCTCAATATTACTTTGGCTATTCTGGGTCTTTCATGACTCGATATAAATTTTAGTATTGTTTGTTGCATTGGAATTTTGATAGGGATTACACTGATTTTGTAGATTGGGTAGTATGAATGGACATTTTAACAATATTAGTTCTTGCGGTCTATGAGCATGCAATACTTTTAATTTATTTGTGTTTTCAGTGTTTTCCTTTTCTATCAATTTCTTATAGATTTCAGTCTATAGATTTTTTATCTCCTTAGTCAAATTTATTCCTAGGTATTTTATTCTTTTCAATGCAGTCATAAATGGGATTTTCTTAATTTCTCTTTGTGCTAGTTCATTATCAGTGTATGCAAACACAGATTTTTGTTCATCAATTTTGTATTTTGCAACTTTACTGAATTTGTGTATTGGTTCTAACAGTTTTTTGGTGGAGTCTTTAGGATTTTCTGTGTAATATGTCATTCACAAATAGTGACAGCTTTAATTCTTCCTTTCTGATTTGGTGCCTTTTTTTTCTTTTCCTTGCTTAATTGTTCTAGCTAGTACTTATGGTACTGTATTGAATAGAAGCAGTGAGAGTGGACATCCTTGCCTTGTTCCTGATATCAGAAGAGAAGCTTTCAGCTTTTCACCACTGAATATGATGTTAGCTATGGGCTTGTCATATATGGCATTCATTATGTGGAGGTACATTCCCTCTGCACCCATTTAGTTTTTATTATGGATGTTGGATTTTGTCAGTTGATTTTTCTGCATCGATTGAGATGATCATCTGATTTTTATCCTTCATTTTGTTAATTTGGTGTAGCATATTGATTTGCCGTTTGTTAATATGGTGTAGCATATTGATTTGCCGCTGTTGAACCATCGCACATCCCTGGAATAAATCCCACTTGATCTTGGTGTGTCGTTGAATTTGGTTTGCTATTATTTTGAAGATTTTTGCATCTATTTTCATTAGGGATACTGGCCTGTAATTTTTTTTTTTTTGCATCCTTGTGTTTTGGTATCAGGGTAATGCTGG